CTTGACATGATTAAGCTTCAATGTAGACCACTTTAACATTTTTATTATGTTCAAACTAAATTTGATCAGTAATCTAAAACACTGAAAAACTACCGAGGCTTTAGGGTTTATTAAAAGTTTTTTTATATTTAATACAGTGAAATAAATAACTAGGGATAGTCTACTTTTGTTGGCAAATATTATTTTTTATAAGTAAAAAAACAATATTGAAGTGAATAAAATATATAACTGAAGTGGTAAATGGATAAATAACAATATAAATTAAGTTATAGTGTATTCTTATAATAAAAAAGGGGATAAAGGCATTGAAATTTATAGCATAAGAAGACTTATTCTGAGTTGTGGGATTCTGTTCAAATTTTGGAAAATGACACAAGCTTTTAATTTCAATCCTCAGAATCTCTGCTTCTGTGTTTGAGAGTCAACAGATACCTGCAGACTGCAAAATGGAGACTGTGTGGGCAGGAGAGCTTTCACTGAAGCCTAATAATAAAATTTGTTTTCTGTTTTAATACGAAGAAAACATGTTTCAAGACATTATTGAAAGGTACTTTTTCCCCCCCAGAGGCACTAAACAATATACTTTCCTAAACCTGAATAACTCCAATACGTATAATTAGGATTATACTGTAATACTATTTAAATATTAAAACACTTGAATATCTAAATCACGTGTCAAACTCAGCAGGCCAAATGACTCCCATCTGGCCCACCAAGGGGGGCAGTTATTATTATTTTTTTTAACTTATGAAAATTGTTTTTAAATCTGTGGTAAAATTTAAAATTTATGATTTAATGCAACACAAATTTAAAAGGTGAAAGTTAATAACATTTGTCCTGCCCCAGAGCTGTTGGCTTTAAGTAACTGAGCGATTTTTGTTGGATAGCACAGTATAAAATAAGCTGCTTTAAAGCCTGCATTGACCGTAAACTACATCTCCCACAATGCATGTTGATTATTACTTTTTAATGTTTATAACAGAACATGTTAAAACATTGTTTCTATGCTGGAAATACCACATAGATTAGTAGCATTGAGAGAAGGAATGTGTTTAGTCGAAGTTAAACATTAAACATAACAGTTTATTACGACTGGCCCTTTGAGGGCCTTGAGTTTGACACCCCTGATGTAAATGTAAGAAAAATTATTTTCTTTTTTCTTTAAGTAAATGATTCATGTGTTTGTAGGGTAAGTGTATTTTTCCTAATATTTTTCTTTAGTTTATAAAAAAAATTGCAAACTGGCCTATTGATGCTTTTGGCCATCTTTGTCTGTCACAAGACTCACTTTTTGCAGCTTTAGCGGTCCGTCAAAGAGTCTCTACACATGCAGAAAACTCTACAGTACCAGTAGGTGTGTGTGAGAGAGAGAGAGAGAGAGAGGGAGAAAGGATCCTGTCAAAAAAATCATCTTAACTAAAATACTTTTTCCCCCGTCTGCATGATATATATCACTCACGTGCAACACTGAGCACGATAGCCTTCGCTCTGCATTGTTTATGCATGTAGGTCTTTTTTGACACTTTAACCTGTATTTCTTAAACAATTTGGGTTCTTCGGATCCGTTCTCTGCTGCCTGAAGGTGACAATAAGCCGAGACCAAAAAAAAAAAAGAGTAAAAGAAACAAAGCTGGGGTAGAAAACGAAGGAAAAACTCAACTTTTAATGATTATAATAATCAGCACAATGACTAACCAACAAAGAAACAGGTGTATGTGCATATCTGTGTAGGAGGATGGAGGTGGCAGTGTGAGCATGCTCTATCTGCTATTTGCTTGACTGGTAATCAGGCAAACACGCTGCAAGTCTCCTGCTATGATTTGCCCCCCAGTGTGTCTCCAGTCTGAACGCCTGTGAGTAAGTCAATGTTTTTCTATATAGACATGCATGTATTTATATAGAATCCAGACTGCAACGTGTACAGTGTGTGTGTGTGTGTGTGTGTGTGTGTGTGTGTGTGTGTGTGTGCCTGCCAGTGGCACAGCATTTGCATGCAACTTTACATATGCCTGGGCTGACTGTGTGTCCATTTCTGAGCGTGTACATTCGCTTCTTGTGACTTCCCCTGGCTACAAGGTGCAGTGTATGAGGTTTACAAGTTTTGTGTGTGTGTGTGTGTGTGTGTGTGTGTGTGTGTGTGTGTGTGTGTGTGTGTGTGTGTGTGTGTGTG